TCTGCTCCGAAGTGAGGACCATTGAATTCAGTGAGCTTTGCAACCGCTAGTCACTTTGTGCATTTTTTCAGTGGAAATAGCTTTTTTTTAGTAACAGTAAAATCAGTCTCAGCAAAGTCTGAATGATACAATGGTTTGGGTTTCAGCAAAAAAAATTCAACCATGCTGATGCTGTGAGCTGGTTTTATTTGTATAAATATATCACTGGAACTTGATTAGAATATGAAATGTATTACTGAACATATTGGCAAGATTTGTGTGTGTTTATCTGTGTGTATAGATATGGATTATGTTGTTTGCCCCTCATGTGGTAAATATCAACATTAACATGTGAATGTGGATAATCCCAAACAATTTTTCTGAATGCCCCCAAATGCATATATATCTCCCTACTTTTTTGGACATGAACCACTGAAAGGGAATAATTGCTAGCTGGATGACTGTCCACATTCACTGGTATATTGCTTTGTTTTTTGGACATTTGCATAATTCATATTGCGGAGACTAACATATAGTCTTCTTGCTCTCCGTGATGCAGTACAATGCAATATCTGCAATCTTCATTTAGACAGCAATTGCCCAAACTAACATAGAAGGAGGTTTGGGGTGTAACTGCAACTACAGGTAGCTGAAATTGGGACTGTGCTGGATGTGGGCCCCTCAGTTTTTTGACAGAGCCCTTTTTAAAATAAGGCTACAGCCCTATATGTTGGGAGTGTAAGAACTATTGAATGCTTAGGGCAGGTGACTTTCTTCCAAATGAACATTCATAAGATCGGGCTTAGATTATGTTTGGGTTTAAGGTAGTAAATGTTTACTAATGTATTATTGGAGATGCTGTTGTATCCGGCACTGGGAGCCTCCCATCATCCCCAAATAATATGATTATTCAAATTTATATTCCTCCCAAAGGAACCCAGGGTGGCACAGAAATGGTAAAACATCCGAAAGCAATTCCAATGCGGATGCAGACATGGGACATGGTGGAGGAGGGCCAGACTAGGAGGAAACCACAGGTTCCCCATCCCTGAAGTCCATGGTTGTGAATTTCTTTGCACTGCTCTGTTAGCACAGGAAATAGGTACTTCGTGGTGTATTTAAACAAAATAGGCAAGTGTTTTCTGCTATCACACTTTACAGGGCACGCTTTATCAAGTGGGAAGGTAAAGGAAGGTAAATTTTAAGCATATACCGTATTGGCCTGAATATAAGTCGCAACTTTTTCCCAAATTCTGACCTTGAAAACTTAAAAGTGCGGCTTAAATTTTCAACCTTACAAAAATTGGCTTGTATGATATCGCTGCTGAAACAGACAAACTGTACAACAGAACCAAAAAAAAAAAAAATGTTTTATTGCCGATTTGCGAGCTTGAGACTGTTGTGCAATTAATCCTAATGTCATTCATCATTTTCCCTGTTTTTTTTACAGTGCAATATTGATTTTTTAATTTTGCATTTACGGTGCTACGAACAGGTGTTTAACCCATTTGCGGGTCCTCTCTAGGAATCGTAGGATTTTCTTCTACATTTGCCATTTATGGGTGTGAGTGCCTGCAGAATTTTAAGGGAGCAGCAATTTTAAGGGATTCAGGTATTGTCTCTCCCCCCCCCCCATCCCCCTGGAGTTTAAAGGTGCAGCATATTTGCGGGTGTGGCTTATATTTGGGTTAATACGGTACTGGAGAGCAGCCGACAGGGAGTTGGCCTCCTTGTTTGATTAGAGCTACTGTTCATTTTGACAACCCTTTGGTCAGGATCCAAAGAGATGGTGATTGTTTATAGGATTAGTATTTTCCCCCTTTTTTAAAACCTGCTGTTCTCCATAAGGTTCCAGAGCAGATTGCAATAATTTTTTTAAAATGCAATTTTAAAATAAGTTACAGTGATTTGCAGAATAGGGTGGTGGTTCCAGGAAAAAAAACAAAACAGATTTGCACATCTGGTAGGATTTTTAATCTCTCCCTGGCATGTTGCAAACTGGGTTTGTTTATTTGTTTGTTTTCCATTAGTAAGGAGGACTTGGTGATTTAGAAACAAGAGACCAAAATACCCCACATTTCCTAAATGTATAGAATAAGTTTTATAGTCTACTGTTTCTAGGGTTTCCTTTTTGTATTATGGGTAGAGGACAGACTAAAAGAAGGAGTTTTTTAACACTTAAAAATTAACTTTGGGATATCTGCAACCAGTTATTGCTTAGTTAGGTGTGTTTGCAGCACCAGAATAATAATGGCATATTTTGTGATGGTGTAATGGCTCTTTTTTCTGTCTTTTTTGCTTGTGCAGTACATCAGGCCAAAAGAGACTGAAGTGCAGCCAAAAAATGCTTCTGATACCCAGTTTAGAGTTTGCACTTGTGTCCTGATTCCAAGCACTCTTGCTTTGAAGTGCCGTATTTTTCGCTCCGTAAGACGCTCCATAAGACGCACCTAGTTTTTAGAGGAGGAAAGGTGGAAAGCCCTGTTTTTGGGGGGATCAGCTCACAGTTGTGCAGCTTCTTTTGCAAAGGGGAAAAGCCCCCTTTTTTTGATGATCAGCTCAAAGTTGTTGAGCTTACTTTGCAAAGGGGGAAAAAAAATCCTGTTTTTATGGGGTTCACCTCACAGTTATGCAGCTTCTTTAGGAAAGGAAAGGGAGCCGTTTCTACAGTTTCCAGACAGATCAGCCAGTCACATGTTGCTGGGGAAACAAACAGCCTCCGTCTGCAGAACATTCAACAATGGAGGCCTGGGCAAGGGGGCAGGGCCAGCAAGGGAGCCAGTGATCAACCACACATTCGCTCCATAAGATGCACAGACATTTCCCCTTACTTTTTAGGAGGAAAAAAGTGTGTCTTATGGAGCGAAAAATACGGTAGGTCCCAATGATTTTAGTGGAGCAAGTATTTGGAGGACCACAAGCTTTTGAAAGGATGCACTACACAGACGTTTAGCACTGGAAGACTCAAGCAGTGGACGGGCTTCTTCAGATACTAGCTTTCAAATCCGCAGGCTTGCCTCTGTGGATTCTTATTGAAAGCGGTGTCAGCAGATCTATTTCAGAAGTAAGGAATCCCCTCTTCTTTCTTGATAGCTAGTCTTGCTTCTTTCTTGAAGTCCAGTAGCTGATGGCCACAGTTTTTAAAAAATAACAATAAAAGTAATCAGGTACAAGGAGCTGGATCGGGGTGCAGGGGAACGAGGGTGGGGTCCTAAGGTCTTTTAATCATTTCCCCTTCCTGTGGTACCAATCCAGATCCAGCCTCCTGTGCCTGCAGTTTCCATTGGAATGAACATTCGTAGCAATGGAACCTTTCCCCCCCTCTGCTTCCAGAGCAAATAGCAGGCATGGGGTGGCACTGAGCTGAATCTGGACTTCAGTGTGGAAACAAATAATTGAAGACCCCTGTCTCCATGTCGGTCCCTTTACTGGGACAGCCCTCAATGGCTTCACTAAGGACTGATTGATCAGGAGTTGTTGGCCATGCTAACAAATAGAACTTCCATGTTCAGCAATAGTATATCTTTGAATGCCAGGTACAGAGGACAAGCAACAAGGGAAGGCTGTGCCCTGTTTATGTGCTTCTCTGTGGCATCACACCGGCCAGCGTTGGAAGTAGGATGCGAGACAGACCTTTGGTCTGAAGACTCCAACAGTACTCTTTGTTATAGTCATGTCATGTATCATACTTAGCCAGAAGAAAGGAAAGAAAGAAAGGAAATTATTCAGTAGTGGTCAGACAGCTGGTTAGTAGGAGCTTTGTGCAAATAATTTCTATATTACTGATCCCAAAGAACATGAACTACAAATTAGTAAGGTGGCCTTTCCTACCTGCCTTCTGCTGGTAAAGGAATGTGCAAGCTTCTGAATTACACAGAACTCTTCCTTAGCCTGAGGAAGAGTTCTGTGGGCATATACCTCTTTAGCACCAGGATCTGGGCCAAGCTATTTAGAATGGTTCAGTTGAGTTATATTTAATTGTGACAGATGGAAGTACTCAAAACCTCTTGAAAGACCTGGATCTAGAGGTCTAAAGGCCCTGGTTTTTATTTCGTTCCATTTTCTTGCTAAGCCAAAATAGCATATTTTGACTTAACTTTGAACCTTCTTTCTGTGGGTACTGTACTTGTTAGGGAAGGTTTTGATGTGTTCAAAGGCCACGACACTAAGATTGCTTCCTGTGGAAATGGGTCACCGTGATACAAAAGACTTGAGTTCATGAGGTTCCCATTGTCTGCAAACACAAAGATCAGCTTATGACTCAGTGTGGATACAAACCTTTGACTTTTTAACAACTGGCTGCACATTTGTTAAACCCGTTTGCACTTTGGAGCCTTCTAAGCTGGAATCACTGTGTTTAGACAGGAAGAGCAGGCTCAAATCTCCCCATCTCATAAAGGATACTGTAGAAGGCCGACTGAAATGATAAGAGGGGTGGATGCAATGTTCTAGGATGAAAGACTAAAAGGTTTTTTTGGGGGGGTCTTTTCAGTTAGGAAAAGAAGGGGACTTGGTAGATTTTTGTACTGTAGAATGATGCACATTGTAGAAAAAGTGCATTGGAAGAAGTTTTCCTGCTTCTCAATAATTCTAGAACTTTGGGTCAGCCAAAACATGGATTGGCAGTACAGTGGTACCTCGGGTTACATACGCTTCAGGTTACAGACTCTGCTAACCCAGAAATACTGCTTCAGGTTAAGAACTTTGCTTCAGGATGAGAACAGAAATTGTGCTCCGGTGGTGTGGCAGCAGCAGGAGGCCCCATTAGCTAAAGTGGTGCTTCAGGTTAAGTACAGTTTCAGGTTAAGTACGGACCTCCAGAACGAATTAAGTACTTAACCCGAGGTACCGCTGTAGATTTCTGGCGGCCAAAAATTAAATAAATTAAAATCATGATGGTGTAATTAATTGTTGCCACCACGTGGTGATGAAGGCCACTCACTCAGATGTCTTTAATCATAGAGTTGCAAGGGAAGGTCTTCTAGTCCACCCTGCTGCAATGCAGGAACCCTGCTCTCAGCTGTCCCTGGTTGAGCTTGAACCATCAACCTTCTGGTTAATAGCCAGACACACTGACCCATTGTGCCGCTGAGACTGTTAAAAGGGGATTGGGCAAATTTATGGAAGGAGGCGCAGTCTATGGGAACTGAGGAAGTTGCCTTATGCCGAGTGAGGTCACTGGTGCACCTGGCTCAATATTTTCCACGCTGAGTGGCAATGGCTCTCCAAGATTTAAAGCAGGGTGTGTCTTCCAGTTCTTCCTAGAGATAACAGGGATTGAACCTTCTGTATGCAAAGCAGATACTCTCCTGTGGAGCTACAGCCCTTCAGTCAGTGATTTCAGTTAGTTCAGGATGATGCTAGGCTAGAACACCCTTCATTGCATGCGTTTGCATTCCACTGTCACAAATGCGCTAACTGGATTCTCTAGGTTGCACCTGCAAAGGTTCTGTTTCATGCCTTCCCTGTTACATGGGGCTTGCAAATAGCCACTGGCCTGTGGCAAGTAAGTCTTGCTTTCAGATGAGCAGGTGAGGTGGTATTCCTTTTCTAGTTATATGAGAATGAACTACAGGTAAGCCAGAAGTGGGCTGGTGAGCTAGTAAGAATTGATGCAGGCAAGGTTTCTTGAGAGCCAGTGTGGTGTAGTGGTTAAGAGCAGTGGACTCGTAATCTGGTGAACCGGGTTCGCTTCCCCGCTCCTCCACATGCAGCTGCTGGGTGACCTTGGGCCAGTCACACTTCTCTGAAGTCTCTCAGCCTCACTCCTCTCACAGAGTGTTTGTTGTAGGGGAGGAAGGGAAAGGAGATTGTTAGCCGCTTTGAGACTCCTTAGGGTAGTGATAAAGTGGAATATCAAATCCAAACTCTTCTTCTTCGTTCGGCAAAGATATTTTATATAGCGGTTGGTTGGCTGGTTGTTGAAAGTGGTAGGTTGCATAGCTCATATCACTTAAAAACCCAAATAAGGGTTACCTGGCAGGTAAGAAATGAAATTATAAAAGCAAATGGGTCCATAGTGTTACTACCAATTCTTACGACATTTAGGGTTGCCATATTCCCAAAAATGAAAACTTTTTTGCCTTTTCTTTGATTGATTGATTTTTTAATCGTCCAACTTGCCATACATCTGGGTTTTCCTGTATATGATGCCGATTCAGCGAAAATCTGCACGGACACCATTTTGCTGCCCGATTCTCAGATATATGGCAGCCCTAAAAACGCAAAAGCAAATAAATGCACCTGGCAATTGAACCATCCAGAAAATACAAGGATCCAGAAATTAAACATCAGATACTTGCTTTCTGCTGCCTTCCTCCTCTAGACTTAAATTAATTTATTTGAAGAAAGTACTAAGCAAATCAAAGATGAAGAATTAGGGAGAGGTGGACACAAACTACTGTATTTTTCACTCTATAAGACGCACCAGACCATAAGACGCACCTAGTTTTTGGAGGAGGAAAACAAGAAAAAAAATATTCTGAATCTCGGAAGCCAGAACAGCCTGCATTCGCTCCATAAGACGCACACACATTTCCCCTTACTTTTTAGGAGGGAAAAAGTGAGTCTTATAGAGCAAAAAATACGGTAGTTCCTGTCTCTCAACCCCTCAAAAATTACAAGACTGTGGGGGTTTTGTTTTTAAAAAAAAACTTTTAAGTGTTTATTTCTGTTGTTTCTTATTCAGTTGGTTTGCACAGTGTAAAGGTAGTTTATTTTTGCTAGGTAAAATCAGTGCTTTTGATGCCATCTTATAGGAATGTGTATTTCAATTCTGACTGTTGCATACATGGTAAAAAAAATGGGGGGGGAATCAGGGGGCGGATGACCCAGAATGAATTTACTTTAATGATCTTTTAAATTCCACTATTCAACATGGTTAACTCATGTTGTTGCTTTGAAATTGATTTGTCTATTAACAATTGCTTTCCCTTTCAATTTAAATTTTTTTGGGGGGGAGCACACTGAATTTGTCCCTTAAAATGGATAGCAGTTACTCAGTAATCTCATCTTGAGAACTTTAATAACTGCCACTGTTGAATAGCTTTAGGAAGATAAGCAAAGGAATAGATGAAATTGTTTAGTAACTACTGCTGGTAAAAGATTTAATCAGGTAGACAAAGAAGAACCTTAAAAGAAAAATAATAACGCAAAAGTGAGTGGCAGGGGGGTTGTACTTTTGATTTGTAATATGATTCAAGCCTGCAAATCTTTTCGATGCAATTTTTAGCAGCTAATGAGATTAAAGGAAATTCATAATCATAGATGTGGATGGAGAAACTGGTTTCAGAGGATCCCTTGACTTTGACCTGCTTTTTTTGTAACAGATTTGAGCTGGCTATGTTCTGCTGCTGCTTCTTTGAAAGAAGATCTGTGTGTACTCCTTAATTGCCACAATCTGCTTCTCAGATAGAAAAAGTGTGTGTGTGTAGAGATTTAAACTTGTTTAAAAGCACCCTTTGAATAAGGAGATAACACCCCCTCCCCAATCCCTGGGAATTATAGGTCTTTAAGGAGGAGTTGTGGATTCACCCAGTGCTTTTTTTCCTAAAAAAAAATGTTTAGAGGTACTGCACTCTCATTTCCTACTCATATTGAAATACAGCCCCTCAATGAGGCCAAACTTAGATTCACAAAATGTTTAGGGGTATGCGTACCCCCAGAAAAAAAGCACTGGGTTCACCTCCATCAAAGGAATCACAAAATATTGTGACAAAGGTAGTTAAAACGAGGCAAAGTGTGTCATGGTGGAAGGGACTTTAAAAATTGCTTTCAGAAGTATGTCACACTTTAAGGAGGGATTTCTATAATTCCTCACCAAACTCCAGTTCCCAGCACTGTTCTGGTTAAACAGGTATAAAATGAGATAAAAGAAAGGTATAAAATTTAAAAATTTGTAATGCAATATCAGGGTGCTTGGGGGTCAGATAGCATTCTGGGCTCTCAGAAGCAATCTGTTCCCTTTACGTCTGTCAGGGGTTCAGGGAGAGAGGCACAGGGTAGGCAGGAGATGGAGAGCGATGGGGAGGAATTCCAAGCCAGCGAGGAAGAGGATGACAATGACTCAAGAGATTCCATGAGTCTTTCCAGCGAATCAGAGGATTCCCAGAAGGAGGCGCCGGTGGTCACGGCCACGGGAGCCCCAGGGGGGAAGTGTCAGGAGCAGGGCGCCAGCGGAGGATCCCAAAGTGGCAGCTGGGCGTCAGGACCAGCCTCCCCACCAGAGTGCAGCGAAGGGGGTGGAGTTTCCAGTGTGTCAGAGGAAGCAGCTCCAGCAGCAGAGAAAGGAGGGGGGGTCAGAGCAAGCCGCCCTCCCGGAAGGAGGGGAGCAGTGAAGGGAGTAGTGTAACTGTCAAAAGGAAAGTTAGAGGTTTGGCGCGCGCGCCTAGTTCAAATGTAGAGGCGCGCGGAAGTGCAGGGAGCCCGGAGGAGGGGCCAGGTCCCAAAGCCCGCAGGAGGGGGAAGAGCAGTCTGATTCCGCGTCAGAGGAATCCAGGAGGGCGAAACCCCAGTGAGCAGAAGGACCATGCGGAAAAGGAAGGAGAGAAAGAGGTCGAGCAGCGCAAGTCTCTTAAATTGGTGCAGGGGAGGGACTGACTCAGAGGGGACTTCAGCGGTCTAGCGTAAGAGACGTAAGGCTGCGCACCTAGGATGTCAAGCAAACCATGAACTGCAATAAACACCTTTGTATATAAGAAGACATAGGCGTTGGTCTTTTGTGAGCTAAGACTTGAGGCAGCCTTGACAACGTCATTTAGGGGAGGTGCAACGTTTTTATCCTTGGTTCATTATTTCTGGAAGCAGTTAGAAGACTATGCATGATGTGTGTTGAAGGAGCAAGACTTTGCCTTCTAAGATTACTGTCGTGTTCTGTGTGTGGGTGTGCCTTAGAAGGTGGTTCAGAATTCAGCTGGAGCTGCTTCTACACAAGGACTGGCCACAGAGAACACATGACACCAATTTTTCTATTATTATTATTATTATTATTATGCACTAACTTCCCATTTGCTTTCAAGATCACTTGGTTACTTGCAAGCTAAGGTTACTTCCGATTCAAGGTTACTAGAGTAGCCAATGCAGTGTCCTTCAGATCTTGATGGACTCCCATCAGCCCCAGCCAGCATGGTCAATTATCAAGGATGATAGGAACTGTAGTCCAAAACATCTGGAGGACAACATATTGACTATCCGTACCTTAAAGACACCTGCTTCTTGGAGAAAAGCAATGACAAACCTAGACAGCATCTTAAAAAGCAGAGACATCACCTTGCCGACAAAGGTCCGTATAGTTAAAGCTATGGTTTTCCCAGTAGTGATGTATGGAAGTGAGAGCTGGACCATAAAGAAGGCTGGTTGCCGAAGAATTGATGCTTTTGAATTATGGTGCTGGAGGAGACTTGAGAGTCCCATGGACTGCAAGAAGATCAAACCTATCCATTCTGAAGGAAATCAGCCCTGAGTGCTCACTGGAAGGACAGATCATGAAGCTGAGATTCCAATACTGTGGCCACCTCATGAGAAGAGAAGACTCCCTGGAAAAGACCCTGATGCTGGGTAAGATTGAAGGCACAAGGAGAAGGGGACGACAGAGGACGAGATGGTTGGGCAGTGTTCTTGAAGCTACCAGCATGAGTTTGACCAAACCGCGGGAGGCATTGGAAGACAGGAGTGCCTGGCGTGCTCTGGTCCCTGGGGTCACGAAGAGTCAGACACGACTAAACAACAACAACAACCTTAAAGCCAGGGCCCTCCACACCTAAGGAGCACCATTTGTTCAATGAACAGTCCTTTGTTCAGTGATCACTCTTCTAAGATAAGGCTATCAAAGGCAATTATACATGATGGCTATGTTCTACCTTCACATTTGGATGCAGGATGTCTCTGGGTATCAACTGCTGGGAATCAGAAGTGAAGAGGGTGCTGTTGTGCTCAGTTCCAACTTGCAGGTTTCTCATGGGTGGCAACAGGGTGCTGGACCATATGGACCATTGGCCTGATTCTGCAGCCAGGCCCTTCTTATGTTCTACAGAAGTGAAATCTGTTGGGGGCAGGAATTTTGCCATTGAGGTACCCATGGCAGAGGAATATCGGCTT